ACTATTTGCCCGATGACTTAGCGTGAACTTTGAAGAATTGAGACTGTTCCCACACTAAATAACTTTCCTTTGATTACCTATTGCCCCAGGTTCACAATAATCCAAGTGAATGTCCTTTTATCGAGAGTATTCTTTGGTACCCCCCAATATGTAATTAACCAAGTGAGATATGTCCCATTGGGAGTGCTCTAGACCCCAGAACAGGCTCCTACACCCCTCTCTGGTTTTGGGTAGTCTATGTAGGTATTCTTTCGCGGATATCGGTTTAAGGTGCTTTCGCCCGATCTTGTTTGGGCGAACACTTAACCTATCATTGTGAGGTTTACCACACGTAGGCTCTTCACATTTTGTGTTTTCTCTTGTTTGTCGCTTTGTCGTATGTCCCTTCTTATTCGGGTTCTTTCCTCTTTGAATCACTGATCTGATTCGAGATGGAGATTTATTCAAATAAGAGAAGTATACAACGATCAACAGACTTGCGACTCCTTCTAAAATAAAAGAGAGAAAAACGAATGAAAACAACTGTCTTGCTTGGAGTTATGCCGAGATGCTCGGGTTAGCTTCAGAGGTAGCTGTGCATCATTTAGCTATTGACTTGAGTATTGTTCTTGTGAAACAATCTCTTCGGAGAATGTGGTCAAAGGTAGAGTAGATGGTCATTGAAGAGACAAAGAAGCTCATCAAAGTTGACTTTATTAAGGAGGTTTGCTACACTATGTGGCTCACAAACATCGTAATCGTTCGAAAGAAGAACGAACAAATACAAGTTTGCATCAACTTTCGAGACCTGAATAAGGCCTGCCCGAAGGAAGATTCCCCTTTGTCGATTCTGGAGCTTATGATTGATGTCACCTCTTCTCATATGATGTTCACCTTTGTGATGGCTTATCAATGTATATTTAGATCCAACTGACCCTAGATGAAGAACAATATACGGTGTTTCGTACTCTTATTGACATCTTTTATTATAAGGTTATGCCCTTTAGCTTTAAGAATGTCGGGGCAACCTATCAGTGGGCTATGACACATATATTCGACGACGTACTACATCAACAAGTCGAGTGCTATATCGACGATATAGTGATTAAGAGTCGTTTCAAAGATGATCATCTTTACCACAATTTTATTCTACATGAAATCCCAACAAAGAAATTTATTGGATGCCACAAGATGCTATGAATGACGCACTATTTGCCCGATGACTTAGCGTGAACTTTGAAGCATTGAGACTTTTCCCACACGAAATAACCTTCCTTTGAAGCATTGGGACTTTGGATGCCACAAGATGCTATGAATGACACGACTAAAAATGATGATATTGAAGAACTTTAAGAACATCAATTGCGTCATCAACCACATCGACCATCGTCTCAACATACAGCTAACTGAAACGATGTTCCCCCATGATAGAGAATATAATATTTTTGTATATTATATTAGTTGAATTAATTTAATTAATTTTGTGTTGTAAATATTTCAATATGAAATAAATTTCACAAATTTCAAAATTTTATTAGTTTATTTAATGCATTCAAAATTTTTTAAATTAGTTAAAAATTAATTAATTTTTTTAAATTATTGTAGAAATTAATTTTAATATTTTACAATGTATATAATAAATAATAGTAATATTTAAAATAATACTTAATATATTATCTAATAATAATATTATTATTTCTAATAAATTATAAAAAAAATAATTAAAGAGTATCTTCTTACACTCATATGCTCCATTTTAAATTTGTTTATTTTGGTGCTTCAATGACTAATTGCCTCATTCAAGGAGCCTCTTTTTGTAATTTAGCTCATTTTCTTAGCTCTGCACTTTCAACTCACCTCAAGAGCTAGAACTCCCAAATCTGTCAGTTTTCTCTTCTGGAACTACGGACAAAGCCTGCGTTTTCTTCGCTCTTGGCAGATCTTTCAGTCTCTTCCGTCCAAAGGTCAGATATTTTCATAGCTCAGCTCTCTGCAGCTTCCGTGTGGAACATTTGATGTTCATCTCTAGGGTTTCTCTCTGCTGTGAAAAGAGAGGGAACCGAAGTCTACTTTTTCTACTTTTGAGGCGTGTGACTGTTTTTTGTCAAATAGTGTCATTAGGTTAAGGATCTGATGGAAGGAAGTGGTCAAGACCACTCTGTTGGCGAGTTGAGTAGCGATACGAGGAAGGATAGGTCGGCTGATCAGCACAGCTTGCCGGCGACGGCCGGTGGTGGTGGCGGCGGCGACCATCGGATCTTCGATCGTCAACTTTCCATAAACCAAGTAATAGGTGGCGGTAAAGGTAATCATTCGTACTGTCATTCTCCATTGCCTTCACAGAACTTAGCAGAAGCTTTTAAATGCTAGAAATTAGTCGTTGTGTTACGTGATTGCTTTTCTCTAGCTATTTTTGTTGTTGCTCCTCTCTTACTTCGTTAGATTTAGATCAACTATGAGGATGGCTAGTGGTTTTTCGTTTTTCTGAATAAGAAACGCAGCAATATTGCAGATTCATAAGAAAACCGGCAATTATTGGGAGTTCTTCTCCTGCCGTTCATGTTATTTTCTTGCCAACAAAGCCTCAAGGGACCTGTTTTTTTGATGTTGATTTAGAAGGCATGAACTTTAGAATAAATACAGACTTTAAAGTTTGCGTGCCAGAAAATCTAGCTATTTGTAGACTTCACCTGTGAAAGAAACTTACAGTGAAATCTTGGTTTGGGTGCCAGGAATAAGTTTGCGTGCCCTGTACACTTTACATGTGAAAGAAACTTATATTCTTTAGGTTTCAGTTGGTGGCTTGGTGCTATTTATAGAAATTCTGTTTGGTTGCCTTGTGTTGATAATTTTACATTCTTAATTTGGAAAAAAGATTGAAATTCCCTATGGTCTAGTTTACAATATCTAAATTATCACGCATGATAACTGTTTATTATTGTTGTGTTTCTTTATTATTGGGGAGATTATCTTTAGTGTACTTTACTATTTTATTCGCTCGCATATCTATAAGAACATGCATGCTTATACTAGAAAGTTAATTGAGTAAATATGCAATTTTTTCCAAATTTTTCCTTTGAACATGGCTTAGAACCCTTGCAATTTTTGTAAACACCTTTCAATAATGAGACATATTGATCTTCTGATCTCTTTTAGTTTGCTTTCGTAGTTCCATCTACCTGCGAATTGTATTTGCTTTTTTGGGTTCTTTCTCATGGACCGATAAGGGTGTCTCGACCTCTTCAATTTCTCCCATATCTTACAGATCTCTTCATAAGAAATATTAACACAACAATATTCTAGTTACAAAGAAAGGTCACATTTCATTTGATAAAATTCTTTGTTGAAAATGGCAAAAAGGCTAAGGGGACTTTTTTTGCTTTTGTCATTGGAAGAGAATATTGCTAAAATTAAGGGATGTTATTGAAAAATTAAGAAGTGGCATATGTGTTATATAGTTAAGTATGGAAAAAATTATTACGGCAAACACAAAGTGTTTTTCTATTTGTCTAGATAATGTGAGAACAATAATGTGTACTCGCTTTATATGAAGTACCTATATTCACGGTTCTTTTTTATGTTTGCATCTGTTATGCGGGTGTTTAAAGGAAATTTAGCTTTTTATTATTCTAAGGAAAATTTGAACTTTTATTGTTATTATTGTGGGGTATAAATAGAGCTTATTATGTTTAGAGTTAAGATATGTATGAGATTGTGGTCTTGAGTCTTAGGTTTAGGGTTATGGAGAGATCGCCTACCACGCGAACTCTATATGTCGGGAAAGATCTCCACCTCTCGAATTGTAGGTGCTTATTTTTATGTATTTTAGTTGTGTTGTTTTGTGTTAGTGAAGACAAATAAATTGTTTGCCCTAATTTTTGTAGAAAAATTGTCTGTTCGTATCAAATTGGTATCAGAGAGTTGATTATTCTTCACGTCGAAGCCATAATCGTGATTTCCCTGGCAAAATTGTATAAGGGATTATGGTGGCGACCTACGTGACCGAATTGCATATAATTGCGATTTGAGTGCAGTGACGCCAACATCAGGATCACGACGTTCGATACAGTTGCTATTCGAGCTAGCTAGGACGCCAACTTCAGGATTGCAATGTAATGTACAACATCAGGATCACTGCGTGTGATATAGTTGTGATTTGAGCTAGTGGGGACGCCAATGTCGGGATCGCGGCATACAGGGTCAATGACAGGATCATGGCGTACATTGTGACTGCACCTTGCGAGACAATTGCGCCTTATTGATCGAAGCTAGCTAGGAAGAAATGCGCATGACTACGTCGTACTAGGAAGCTGGTGAGGGGATTGACACAGTCGCATGGGGTCATGACATACAATACAATTGTAATTTGACCTAGCTGGGAAGCCGATAGATGTGATCACGATAGACAGAGGACTGCGGCGTACAAATCCATTGAGATTGTAGTCAAAGTTTGATCCTTAGGTACAATCACTAAACAACTTGATTTTAGCGGGGAAGTCTACAGGAGGACCTAACCTCGCGATACAATGCAAAGTACATGATTAAAAGAGTTTTGAAACCATACAAAGAATAATGGAGGCCATGACAGTAGATGAATTGAAGAAGAATTTGGAGAAAAATGTGAGCCAAATAGATTTGAAAGGGAGTAGCTTTTTTAGTTATCGGAGGAGTGGATTTCATCCATGGAGGGGTGGTTGAGTTGAGATTCACGACTGGAAGAAATTATGAAGAAGATTGTGGAATTTCGCACAAAAAACGCCTCAGCTCGTCGCGTGATCGAACTGCGACGTATGAAGGGGACGTGAATGGAAACAATTTCAATAATTTGTGCGACATTAGAACATTGGTGCTACTTTAGGTAGATTTGAAATCGTGGTGTCGGGTGGAGGAATGGTAAGCGGGCTCGAGCAACAACACCTGGAAAGAATAGTGTAACATTCAGACGGCTGAAGCAAATGGAAGCAAGCCAGATTGAGCAGAGTTAGGAGTGGATTCGAGCGACAATATCTGGAGGAAATTTGTGACATACACAGGTTTGGAACGAGCAATGATCAAAGAAAAATATGTTGAGATTTTCATACCTAATTTACACTGTTTTTGATAATATTGCACTTTATTACACTG